CGCCCCCCCCCCCCGCCCCCCCGGGCATAGATCAGTATCTCACCTTTCGGCCATGCCTTTGTAGAGTGCCTCCGCATCCCCCCTCGGCGTGGCAGCCAGCCGCATCACCACTTTCCCACTACTCGTCACCCCCTGCCCGCCGCCTACGGTAGCTCCAATGGCCGGCTCTACCGCCCCGTTTGTACCGACCGTTTCGTCCGCAAGAAGCACTCTGGAGAAGGGGACGAAGGCGGCGGTACCGCTGCCCCCCCCCCCCCCCCCGGCTGAAGCCGTCGACTCCACGAGGCCACTCGTACCGCCGGTGGTCGTACCGGGGGGGGTGGAACTTCGCCGCTTCTCTTCTCCGGAGAAGGCGGAGCAGAGGTACCCGTGCTTGGCGCGGAGGGCGGCGCCGATGGCTGCCGCATCAGGAACGGTCCTGAGGAGCACCGGGGCGGAGAACACGTCTGCGAGAACCTGCGTTCTCAAGGTGGTCGGAGAGAATCAGGGGGCGGGGGGACGGCGGAGTGGTGAAGCGGTTGTTTGGGGGGGGGTCAGTCGACCGATGGTGTAAATGGTACACGCCGTCCACGTTGTGAAGAAAAAATGCAAGGCTCCGCGGGTCGCCTTTGAGCATTTGGACGTGGCCAAGCTCGCTGGTGATCGCGGACGGCGGGGGACGTTTGCAGCATCGAAAATGGAGGTACGGGAGGAAAGTATCAGAACCGTTTTCGGTGTGCATGAATGCAGCGTCAGCGGTACAACAACACGGCGGACCGCCAACGCCTCCACCCGTACCAATAGCAACAGCAACAACAACGCACACGTAGGATCCTCACCCAACCCCGACTTTCATGATTCCACCAGCAAAGCTCATGAAGCAAGGGAGAGCCCTGTGCCCCGCTGACCTCCGATCTGACAACGTCCTTAGCTTTGTTTCGTTTCAAGGGAATAGGCGTTAAGCCAGAGTAAGGCATGCAATGCCTACCTTGCGTCTGGCTCCGCATGGATGCCGGTCGTACTCGCACTAACGGGAGGCAGTGCCGGATCGTTCACAAACGCTATTAGTGTCCCGCGCGCCAAGCTATCAATGCTTGCCCGGAACACTTATCACACTGGAGTACCTGCATCATCGAGGGGCTGTTGGTTCCGCCCCCTGTCGCCAGCACGGCGGTCGGGCGAGGGATGCCCATTCTCTGCATCCGGCCTCGCATAGAGAGGAACCGGCTTTCCACCACCGCTCTCGCTTCCACCCCTGGAGGGAACGCCTCGTCGACAACTTCATCTGCGGCGGGAGAGTCATCGTGTCGGTATCTTACATAACTCGTAACTCGCGAGTTAACGTGCAACAAGGACGAGCCAGGACAAAAAATGTAGGATATTGTTGAACGGTCGCGTGAGAGTTGGAGGGCGGCGAGATGGCTTCCAAACGCTGTCATGGGCACACGCGTGGGGGAAGACAGTGCGCGTGAGGGGAGCGTGAGAGAAGAAAGAGAGCGAGTAAGATGTGTAGGGGGTGAGAGGAAAGAGAAGCGAGAGAAACATTCGAGGTAGGGAGGCAAAACGAGGAGAGAGCACCTGTCCAGTTTTTCGGGCATAAAAAATTAGACCGCCTTTCGAGTTTCCGCTCAGGCCCATGGTCCGTTGACCTCACCCTCGGGGCCTCTCCTGAACCTCCCCGTGGTCGCTATCTGCGGCGTAATCTCCGGCATATCAACGAACAGCCCGATGTGTCCCCCGTTCCCCGGCGACGTGGACGCCAGAATCTTGTCGAGCTCCCCCCAGCTTCCCGAGCACAGCTGTAGTACACGTGCGTGCAGTTGGATGCACCCAACAATTTGCGCGAGCGCCGCCCAGACACGGCACGCCCCAACGAAACACGCGGCGGCATCAAATAACCACAGGTGGAGCGGGGTAGGTCAGGAAGCTCACGGTGTTTACCTAGGGTGGGTGAGCGGGCGTATCATAGACTCAACACACACAGCAGGCAAAACACGCATCTTCTCTTGTCTTTCAAATGAAAAACTGATGAACAGCTATTTTCCGAGAAAAGAGTTGCGTTGAAGACGGCAGCGGATATCTCCAGAGTGTATTTTTTCTTCTCACGTTTTGTTGTTTCTAACCACTCACTGCGGTATTGCCAGGATCTGAGATCCCGAGCAAGCGAGTGACTGCGCGTGGATCGCTGAGTAATTGCTGTCTCTGGGTAACACCACGATGCTCATCTCTTTTGTGTGTCCGATACAGTTCCACAAGCAGAAGCAAAGGGTAGCCGCAGCTGCTATTTCCCTTCATCCGTTTGTCCGCGTAGGACGTTCACGCACTGCACGGGGCCCTACCACTTATGATGATCACCTTTGGCATGTATGATGTTAGGTAAATGTTATCTGGAGGCCGGGCCGCGAGATGGTTGCTTCTGTTGTGTCTATCCTCAGCCTACTCAGCGGCACTAAAGCGTGTTCATGCCAGAACTGTGTGGTCATGACACTATCATCACGCACTTTCAACAGACCGCTAGCAACGGTAAGGCGACCATTTCTACACCCGAAGCCCACGTTACGCACAGGAATTTTCACTCCGGAAGGTGTCAGCGCCCGAGAAAGTTCTGCAACCACGACTTGACTTCCCCCACCACCCGGGCACCCCTGAAGGCCGGCTTAGCACTAGGTGTTTCTACGGCGGTCCTGGCGTCGAATTTTGGTCTCCACCCTTAAGCAACGATTGCCCGTCCGTCGTAGCGATCCCGTTTCTTTGTCTGATCAATGACACTGCTGCCTCTATCTGTGCAACGCATCCCATGGCGCAGCCGGGACGGCGTCTGTCACCCTTTCGATGGATGCCACGGAACTGGTGACCTCGAAGCACACACCTCGTCGCGCACTCGTTCTCTCGACAGGGCTCCGTTCTTGTACACCAGCATGGCGAAGTACGACGACTCTTCCACGGGGTTGGCCATGATGTGACCCTGCCCTCGTGTCCACAGCCCAGCCAACAAAAGCGAGATTTCGCAGAGAGGCACAGGTTGGCCAGAAAGCACGGGGGAGATCGGCAGGGGACGAAACATAGTGAACCTGCAGTAACGTTTCGACATCGTAGTCCGACACAAAACGCTACAGACAGCCCCGACACAACGGTCCCTGTGAAGTACGGGTTTCTGTGCTGTTTATCGATGTGTGCACTATCGAAACACACAAACCTGTAGGGAGGCAAACCTTCAACCTTATTGTCACTAAAACGACTCCCCTAATGCTTGGAAAGCCGTCCAACCGCAGCCAAACAACAGATACATGAGCGTTCTTTAGACAGCCCTCCCATGAGGGCGACCGCGGAGGCAGCTCGAGATAGGATAGGGCGAAAGGACAGCTACCATTGACACCAGAGAAAGCAAAGTTCGACACACCCACCACGCACTCAACACCCCCCCGCCCCCCGACGTTGACCACGCCGACCACCCCGGCACGGCGAGCAACCACAAGACAGCTCACCTCTTCTTGCGGGCTGGGCTGGCTGGTTATTCCCATGATCGTGTCGCTCGTCCCGAGGCTGACCACCACAGTGCCCTCCCCTGACAACCCCAAACCGGCTAGGGCGCACGGGTTGTCACCGCTACCAGCTATTACCACACAACTGTTTTCGTGAACACGAGGCGGCGCCAAGAGGATGAGGGGCGGGGGAAAAGGGCGACAAAACGTTAGGGGAAACCTACTGATTGCTTGAGAGGAAGTGGTCGAGACCCTCTGTATCCTCACAGCCACCAACAGCGTTCTTGCAGGGGAGTGTAGAAGAAATGTGAGAAAATACATACATTACCCGAGCGTGAACAGCCCACTGAAAACCGTAAGTGCATAAAGTCAACAACAGACAGAACGAGTTAACAGAGAGTGAAAAACGCAACAATCAAGAGCATTGCAACCGTCGAAATTCACTCAGGGTGAAGCCAGGACCGCATACTTCCAAGTTCTTAAGCGACGTGGGTTTGTGGAAGGTTTCATTCCTCGAGCAAACCAGTCCGCAGACGTCTGTTAAATAGCGCAGCCAAAACAAATCTCCCGACGTTACGCGTTCTGCACAAATGTCTGGCGTGTGGTGCGTTCAACTCACTCTGAGTCAACCTACAAATTAGTGACCTGGATGATTTTTCTCCTAGAGTTCTACATGGAAAAAGCAAACGTAAATCAACCGACCCTGCCAATACGCTCACAAACTGTGAATAAACAGTGCCAAATTTCACCCCACCTTGAAAATCCCGCTTGCTTGCTTGCTGCAATTTTGAAACCGACAATGTTGCATACAGCACAATTAACCACCGATTCCAGTGCGGCAAGGATGTACCTCAGTGGATCAATGAATAGAGTTCACTGAAGCGGCCAGCTTCAGGACTCGCCTTAGCAAACTCACTCTGGGTTGAGTCCGAACTTTGTCGAGAAGAAGGGGCTGACCTTCCCTTGGCACTCGTAAGAAGGGCACACCCTGCCCAGCCTATCGCGCAGACCCTCAGCCTTTGCGGCGGCCAGCGCTCCCTCGTGCCAGTCTCTTGACCTGTCCCAGCAGCAGGCGTTAGCAAGGGGCGGAATTAAATAAAAATATATATGTATCCACTTGACGAAGAGACACTATCGCATAGCTCGTGTAGCGCGCAAGAGAGTTGGACTGGCGGTTATTTTCCTCTTGCACCGAAGAGAGATACGCTCTGTTCGGCAGGCGCGTGAGACGCCAGAGGCTATAGACACAGGGCAACCCCAAAGCAACACATATGACCGCCGTGGCCGTCCATCCGACACGTGCGTCACAGACAAGCACGCAGTGTGGATGAGAGATAGGAAGGGCATCTGAGGCAAGCCGAGCAAGCACAATGCTTGCTTTCGACGCACCTGATGTCCATGAGGTTCATGCCCGAAGCGTCGCTAGCGTCGATGGAGCAGTACCGTCCTACGAGCAGAGACGTGACGAAGGAGCTCACCAGAGACACCCGCTCGCACGACGCGTACACCTCCGGCTCGCGGCGAGCAATGCGCGAGATCTGCTTTCGTGATACATGAGGGGGTTGTTAAAGAACAAACTGGGATTGATTATTGGGGACCGAAGCAGGGCCCAGTGAGGAGGAGCTTCGAATGCTTTTAGGAAATCATCGAAGGCATACAAGTATCAAGAAGAAACAAGAGGCGCGGGGAGAAATCTTGCGCAAGAAGTACCTGTTTGCACTCATCTTGGCGAAAGGGAATGATTAATACAATTATCCCGGAATTCAAGCTTAACTCTTCCGGTATCCATTCTCAAAAGACACAGGAATTGGCCTTCCTGTCTGTACATCTGTCTGGTTTCCTTTCACCGAGGGACTACCGTGGAGGGGCACCCTGACCCCAAATACAAGCTTGCGTGCATCTCATAGCGGGCAAGGCTTCAGGCAGGGCGGGTTGCCTTCTAGCGCGAGCGAGCGATGAGATGAGAACAATCGTTGTGGTTCCCGATGTGTACATGACGTGCGTCCGCAGAAGGTGCACCTGGTTGCCACTAAAGCGACAGTACGCCGCGGACCCCGTCGCCTCGGCGACTGCCTTCGGGCCTCCCAGCGCCTCCTCAAGGTTGTGGCACTCCCTCGTCGTGCTGCTGTCGGCCCATAAGGGGCAGTCCCGCCTAGCGAAGCAACCGGAGAGGGCCTGTTTTTTATTTAGGAGTGGGGGGGGGTTGTTGAGCATATGGATGTCATGAGGAGCTCGTGTCGTAGAGGTGTTCGCTACGCAGCAGGAGAAAAACTTGGTTCCGTGATTTTCCCATAAAGCTAGTTCCATGCGGCGGCGCATCTACGTGTACTCCCACGAAGAAACACGAGTCGAGGTCCAAGCTGTCCCCCCTCCAGACCGCAACCTGTTTTCACAAATCCAAGGCAAAGGCGGCAGGAGTAACGAAAAGCGCAAGCTAGCGACGCGAACATCGGGAGGGGGGCACACACCAAGACCAGCAAGAGGAATTGCAAAGCAACAGGGGGGTAAGGCGCGCACCTCGACGAGGGTGTCCTTAGGTCCCAAGCCCCCAAGACCCTTGAGCCGTTCCGCCGCGCCGGCCTTCCAAAAGACGGTGCCGTGCTGCTGCCCGCTAACCGACACCGCGCGCACCCTCGCCAGCACGGATCTCCCCCAGGTGGTCATCCGTCCCGGCTCGCCTTGTTGTAGAGTTTCAGTTTCTTTCGCAGGGTATGCAGGTTCTTTTTTGCCGAGAGGAGGGGTGGGTGCGGAGAGGGCGGCCAAGCGCGACAGCGCCAGATCGATGGCGTCCAGCCACATGGTGACAGGAGATGTCACCACGGCGTTCTGTTATTATTGGCGCGCGGGGGGTAGGGGTGGAGGAGCCACGCGTTGGTGCACGTAGGTACAGCGAGTGTGCATGCGAGCACCATCGTTGCACATTACCAGGGGAGCTTAAATTCTTCCAAAGGCCGTGGCGAACGGGCACACACACCTTTTCCCCGATGAGCTTTCCCCGCGCGACGGCTACAAGGAGCACTGGGTGTAATCTACACCACGACTTCTCTCCTTTTTTCGTTTTGGTGTTCACTTCGATTCAAGGAGTGAAGAAACCTTGCCGCGCGGACAAAATGCCGCTTCAGCCATTGATACGAGGCAAATTTAATGCACATGCAGTAAAACGCTTACAAGTACCGAGACAACAACGGCAAGCAACGAACAAAACCAACTTGTTGCAAAGCCTCGACCACCTCCCCCGACCATGAGAAATTTTTTTGTACACGGGCAACAACTATCTCCCTCACAACAAGAAAGACCCGCCGCACACTTGAAATTCACTGCTGCCGTGCCACAGAGTCGGACCTGTATGAGCATACGCATTGCCTACGTTCGAGAGAAGTCTCATCTGATGTCTGTCTGCCGTGGTGGTTTAGGAACGGTATGCTGAGATGAAGGACATTCTAGCCTTCCATGCGCCAAAGGCCTCCGCTTCTACATTGCCAGACGACCCCGCGAAGTACTCCAGAGGGCCGCAAAATGAACATAAAGCGCAGCGTGCGGTGGGGGCCGCCCGGCGCAATCAACGCCGTCGTCGTTGTCGAGTAGCTCTAGCTCGTCGTCGGAAGGGTTGACCTCCTAGCAGTACATTTATTACCACATCATACCACCACCTCCGCGACATCATGTTTAATTAAAAGAAGTACTCACAGGATGGTCGTCGCGCCGTGACACATTTCGTACCGTTAGTGTGGAAAAAAAAAAAAAACGGTGGCTCGATTTTTATTTCGGCTACGGCAGAATGGACCAGACACCGGAGAACGTTCGCCTACGGCGACGACCATGACTGGATGGGATACCTCCTGCGACGGCGAACCATACCTCAATGCTCGAGATACAGCAGTGGGATTCTCGTGTTGTTGAAGGAAGTCTGCCTGCAACAAGAGAGAAGACAGTATCCTATGTAGTATTCCACTTGGCGTGTTTAGGTTTGGAGCTGTGTGGCGGGAGTACTTGACGTGCTCGCCACCCGACCTGCTGTCCGCTGCTGTGTGCTGTGCGTGCATGTCTCAAACACTCCAACCGGTGCTTGTGTGTCGATTGGAGTCTTGTAGGGCTTGATACAGCAGTGAGATTCTCGTGTTGCTGAAGGAAAACTGCCTGCAGGAAGAAGGCGCTGTTCGATTCCCATCTGACGTGTTTGGAGCTATGTGGTGGGAGTACTTGACGTGCTCGCTACCCGACCTGCTGTCCGCTGCTGTGCGCTGTGCGTGCATATACCGAACACTCCTACCGGTGCTTGTGTGTCGATTGGAGTTTTGGAAGGCGAGATACAGCAGTGGGATTCTCGTGTTGCTGAAGGAAGGCTGCCTGCAGGAAGCGAGAAGGCAGTGTTCGATTCCCACCTGAAGTGTTTGGAGCTGTGTGGCGGGAGTACTTGAGCGCTCGCCACCCGACCTGCTGTCCGCTGCTGTGCGCTGTGCATACATGTACCAAACACTCCTACCGGTGATTGTGTGTCGATTGGAGTCTTTGAGGGCGACATGCAGCTGGCGGGGTATTCAAAGGCTATGTACCCCACCAGTGGGGCAGAGGTTGGGGCGGCAGTTGCTAAATTTAATTTTCCCCCCACCAGCGATAGCTGCATCAACTACTTGCATGCTGCCTGCACTACCCCTAATTGGCTTGCGTTAGACCCACAAGTGCGGCGGACGTGTACGGTATGCCTCTATGGTCGATGCTGTTAATCATTTGCGAAGTGTGTCGCCTTTATCATGGAAGAAGCGCGTGATTGAATGTGTAGCATATGAGGGTACTCTATTTTTTTTGTGAAACAACGATCGACGATGACTATTTTTTTCTATAGTTTCTTCACTGTTTTTTTTCTGATCCGTCAAATCTCGGCGACCGCGATCAATTCCATCCTGTGCCCTCTCACTCTTCGCGCACGGCTTTGCGTCTTCATTGCGTCTCCATGCACCGTCCCTTGTTGTCACTCCTAACAATGTGTCGTCTTCCCTCTTCTTATTCTTAAATTCCTCCCAAACCCTCACCGTCATCCTTCTCGGTGTGGCCACCCACCCCATTGGGGGGCATCGGGGTAATCCTTGTCCCTATCATGCTACTGTAGTACATGCATATTCGGGAGGCTCGCTCGCGACGTCTGGGGTATGACGCTTTTCTCCAGCCGCGCATGACATGGCGTAGTGTGCATGCTATTGTGCGTGTGTGAAGGAGCCGAGGGAGCCACATACACACGTGCAGTCTTGAGATGACTAGCCCTTCTATAGTGGGGCCAGCCCACAAAAACAAGAGGGTGACCCTCGTCAACAGCAAATAGTCTACAGCTTGTCGAGCACGTGGCAACCGATTTCGACCCTCTTGTAACGGAACCGCTGTGACTCGGTTCCCTCTCATTGCGGCACCACGATTGTACGTGGACAAGGTGAAGATCTGCCGGTAATGGGAACCGCGCGCTCTTCAACGCCAGGTTGGTCTGTCTATGTTTTTTTTTTTTTTTTTCCCATCATTGAACTCTGTCGTCTGCCCCTCTGGCCCCTATCCTTCACTACTACCAGCTAGACGACCCAACCGGGGTCACATAGGACGGGGTCGCATAGGAGGGGACCCAACCGGGGTCACATAGGAGGGGGAGGTTGGACCCCCTCCTGCGGTTCCTGCCTGAGATATTTTTATCGCGAGAAGGGAACAGCAATCCCCTCCCTCGCGACTTACGAAGTCGGTCAAGTTTACAAACAACGAGCTTTGCAGCGCGTCGCTTCCAACGGAGACCAGGATTTGATTAGCGAGAAAAAACTCACTCTGTCGGGACTCGACCCCATGACCTGGCCCTTAGTAGGCTGCGAGGCTACCCACTATACCGCCGGGGCGACCGGTGTATGTTGTTGTTGTTGTTACTGTTTCTCACATTAGCTCTATAGTCCAAAAAAAATGTGGAGCCCGTGGTCTCAAAACCCAGCACATACGACGCCGCGGGGAAACAAAACAATAGGGTACAAACCACTCGGAAAAAGAAAAAAAAGAACAGGTAGCGCACCGACCGTTCGAGAAAAGAGCCCTCGGAAACCAATCAAAATAACACTAAAACAAAAGTAAAGGAGGACGCTTCCCACACCCGCCTTAAGAAAAAATCAAAGGGTAACNGGGTACAAACCACTCGGAAAAAGAAAAAAAAGAACAGGTAGCGCACCGACCGTTCGAGAAAAGAGCCCTCGGAAACCAATCAAAATAACACTAAAACAAAAGTAAAGGAGGACGCTTCCCACACCCGCCTTAAGAAAAAATCAAAGGGTAACGTACCAGCACCAGGCACTATGCACCAGGGCTATGTGTGTATGTAGTTGATGTTCACGTGTGGGTATAGCTCTTGGTGTTTGTATGTTTCGCCGCCCAATCTGTCCGCTGGACTTGCACGCAACGCGCAAAGTCAGAGAAGCGGGGATCATTGTATCAAACTTCCCATCCGAAGATCGCGACGACGTGGCCGTTTCTGAACAGAGCACCACGGCAGTACTAGGCACTCTCTTTAGGGTTGGCACTTTGGAAATCAGACTATGCACAGACTATGCATTGTCACACAGCAGTAGGTAAGCTGTTGCTCCATGATCAATGATCCAAAACGCGTTGAACTTGCCCTGCTTCAATCACCCGATCACCCGAAGACGATTCGCCCAGCATATTCTCGGGCACTGCGACATCACGCATGGCACCACACCACGCCACACCGTACCGTACCTTCTCGCCGCCATCTCCGTCGCTAACGTGCATGCCGTGCTCGGTCTGGTACTGAGGTAGCTCGGTATCATACACGACCGAATCAAGGTAAACATGATCGGCCGCCGGGTCGTCGTCGAGAACAACCAACGTCAGAGATTGTGTGCTGAGATCCACGCCGAGCCAGAGCGGCGGCAAGGGGTCCTCGCTAATCATGTCTTAGACTGAAAGGAGAGCTAAAGAAGCTGGGGCGGAAGATGACTGAACCAAGAACACGTGCAGTGCACGGACCTGCAGCTGAAACAGGCCGCATCAGCAGGTCAGGCACCAGGCGGGCCAATAGGGAGGTTCCGTGAATGGATTGGCATACCCTGTCTGCGGCAGTTTTGTCCCCCTCCCGAAGGTCTTGGGGTTTCTTTTTAGGAGTTTTGTTCAGCCGCAGCACAGCAGCGGCGAGCAGAGAGAGAGAGAGAGAGAGAGAGAGAGAGAGAGAGAGAGCTGAGGATGGGCTTGCTAGATGGCTTGTTCGGGCCAGAAGGGGGAGAGGATGGCGGTAAGGCAGGAGATACCCTTGGTGGCTCGGATGAAACCGCCAAGGAGCTGCCAGCCGGAGGTGAGGCGCACGAAGCTCGGCGAGTCACGCCACATGCGGCGTACCCAGAGCTCTACAGATGATGGGGGTGTATTTGATGGGATGTTCGTTGACCTACTGCCATCTCTGTCGTGTACGGGAATATCCATACTCCGAGTGTACTTCTGGCAACTTCTGACACTATCTTTTGGTTTTTGTGGAATGCGGGGAAGCGAGACAGACGCTGCAGCGAGCGGTTGCGTCGACAGTTCAGGAGGGCTGCCGTGCTTGTTCTGTGGCTCGTACCTGCAGCAGCAAAGAAAGCAATACCGCCGTAGGCTCAAGCACCAGAGCTACCCTTCCACTCTCCCAGAAGTGCATGGAAGGTCCTCGCTGCCCGATCTTCCCCTACTGAGTGCGTTGAAACCACACTGGGGGACGATGCGGTTGCTGTACAACCGGCGCCGGTCACCGTACCCCGTATGCCGAACGCCGAACCCTCTTCTTGCTGTTGGCACGGCAACCGGTCGGCGTCGCCTTTGAGAACGTAGAAATGAGGTTCATATATTGCCATCATTCCACACACAATGCTAGCCGACATCGTGGTACGATTCGGTGGCATTATTTAATCAAGCGTGTATGTACAAGTGCCACAGCAGCGACGCATTCGAGCCGCAAGTAGGCGTTCCCTGACCTGACAGCACCAACTCTCATGCACAGGTGACTCTACATACACGTAGCTCTTTGGGCCGATTTCCCTATGTGGTGCTCCTTGTCTCTATGTACCACGCAGCCGCAGGTGTGTACTCTAGGATGTCTGCCCTCAGATGCTACTACAGGAGACAAGAGTGTTTCCTCCAGTCGTACGCGTATTGCAGCCTTTCGAAAAGAGGCACCCACAGCAGTTCAGCGAAGGAGAGAAAGACAGAAAGACCCCCCGTACAGCAGTACACCTAAACCGGGAGGCACCTCCAAAGAGACCTCAAAAAGCCCTTGAATGGCAGCTTCTGTTGCCAAAGCTACGTGCCGTGGAGCGTTTCCACGACCAGCTGTTAGTTTCGATCCGCGCTGGTATGGTTGCTCTCGTGTCACTCACTGCTCGCATCGTCACCCGCAAGTGAGCAGCAGTGTGCATACCACAGCAGATAGGGAGGAGTAATGAGCCGCGGGAAGACTGTGCATCCGCTCCCGCTGGTGTCAAGTGCTACACTAATGAATGGCGGAGGAACATATACACACGCCGTGACACACGCGATGCTACAGTAGTACCGCCAAACGATCGGGCCCCAACATCTCTGCCGCCGGCCAAAAATGAATAACAGTGGCAGACACGAAAACACAAGATAGAACCCATCGGGCAGCGCGATGTGGAAAGCCGGTGGAAAGTGGCATGAATTTTTCCAACAGAGACAGCTCGTTCTCTCGCATCGACCGTTTGTCAACATCTCAGCCTCTCTCATGTTTCGCTTTTGCTGGAGGCGGCGTCGTTTGTTTGCTTCCCTCATCCCCCGCCCTAATGTTGTCTGACGAAAGACGTCGTTCTGAGTCCCATGTGGAGACTGCGTCAACAGCACCAACCGCCTCAGCTTCCCTCTCCGCTGCTGGTGTTGCTGCTGTAGGCAAGACCTCAGTTGATTGTATTGTCACCCATAGATTTTTCCAACGGCCAATTGAACCGCTAAGGCTTACCCTATCGTTTAGATAGAGAGCGAGCACCAGGCCTGCTTTTTTATGCTGTGCTTTTGCCTATGGAAGGTATTGGACCACGGGTGGGTGTGATTCTGTGGATGTGCAAGACCTATCACCGGCACGCTACCTCTGTTTCCTTCTCCTGGTTAGAATCGCTCGCGCTTGAGATCTTCGCTTTTGAAGTCCCGTTTTCCTTGCTGAACTCCAAGGGACACGGCAAGCTATCTCCGATGGATTTGGGGCACGAACGCCTGCGTAACACGGCTAAATTATCTCTCGCCATTGCACGACCAAACCGGTGTGACGAAAGGGTGCGCTGTTTTTCTTCCTCCTCAGAAACCAACAGATCGGACAACGGTGGCCTATAGCTCTCGTTCGGGTCGAACAGGAGGGTTGTGTTAAGGGCCCCCGGAAATCACACTTGGGCCCCTGCATCGCATCGGAACATGCCGAGACTTGGAGTCTGTTTTTTTCCTCCTGGGACGGAGGGAAAATAACGGTCGCTGTTCTCGCTCCGCGGCTCATTGTCAGTATTCACGGAGCCTACAGCAGCACATAAGAAGACGCCAGCGTTCAGCATGACCTTGAATCTAGGCGTCGCCGCGTCTCTGCGCATTCTGCTTTCGCTCTCCCTAGATAGCCTTGATTAGCTCCTGCTCGGGCCACGGGGGCGTTCGAAACGCCACACTCCGTCACCGCTCACAGATTTGCCGTGCTCTGACGCTCGTCACGCAACCACCCGCTGCCAAGCTGAGGTTCCGCGAGCACTCGTGTGCAACCTACATGTAGCGCGCACCATGTTTGCCGCTGACACGTCGGTCGATCGATCGATTTGTTCCACCAGGCCCTCCGCTAGCGAAGGACACCCCGCCGCCCCAAGACCCCGGCATCTACAGCCAGGGAGGGGCGGGCTTCAACGCAGAGCCAATGGAGAGGTGAGTCCGTCCGAGCACACGTGTGCATGCGTGCATACACGTGGCCGTGTGTTCCTCAACAAGGCTGCATAACAAACTGGGCGTGCCTGGACAAGTGGGAGAACGTTTTATTTGGTAGGCAAGTGTGTTTGTCCTGTTGTCCTCCGCACGGCCCACGTATTTGCCGATGTGAAGAACGACCACAATTGCAGTGTTTCTCGTTTTGGGATTGACTAGGCGGATCTCATTGCTCTTGCATGGCACTGCCCCTGTGGCTGTCCGCATCATCTCGTTTGGCTGATGCTTGAGCACTCGCGCTAGCCGAGTATGTATGTTTCACGGCCTCTCCTTTTCAATACAACCGGACACTTGCTGCTGCTCGCAGCCATTGGATGTTTTGCTTGGCGAACAGACTCGCTTGCGTGGTGGCCTGCTTGGGTTGGCTGCTTGGCTTCTGCTGTCGCTGGTATTGATTTTTTGTTGAAAGTGCTTGCATCGATCGATTCGCCTTGCCTTGGCAAATGTCTTTCGTCATGGCCAATTCCTCCCAACCTGCTTGGCCGCTGAAGAGCGGTGCAGCTGGCCTTCGAGCTGGGCAGGGAGCGCAACCCGTCCATCTTGGCGCACGAGCGTCGCTCCAAGCTCACCAAGACAAGGGCGGAAGTTTCGGACAAGACCAAGGAATTCCACCACTGGGCCACGGAGGCCGACAAGCACATTGACCACAAGGCGAGGCGTGCTCCAGAAATGCCTCTGCTGGGTCTGCCAGCTGTTGATCGCTACCCTAACCTTTCGTAACGTCAATATTCCGGATCTTTTGTACGGGTATGGTACATGGCCCTTGGTATCCCCTCCGTGGGATGCGGATGCCGCCGTAATAATGCTGATGATAGTTTAGAGGTTAGCGGTGGGAGAATCGATGGGATGAGAAAAGGGCGGTTCGTGAGGTACTCGTGTATTTTCATGCAACAGCCGAGCAGCAGCACACAGACGACCTCCGAGACGAGACATTCCTGTTCTTTTTTCTTTGTCTTTACTTCAAATAAGCGCTGACAGCACGGGTGCCGTTTACTCCAACCCGTGGTCACGCAGAAGGGTTTCCCCCTACCTCCTGCGGTATCTTCTTTACCTTCGATGTGTAAAGCGAGAAGAGTGCAGCACTCTCTTCCCTTTGTGTACACGCGAACTAGAGAACAACTTCGCAAGAAAAACTCGCCTTGGACAGCTATTTTGATGCATTTCCCTATGGCTGGACGCACTTTGATTTTCACATCCGCGAACACTTTGTACGTGAGAAGAATGTCCCGAATCGACCATCGGGACCTCTCGTTGGCACCGAGCACGATTGTTACCAGGTTTAGGTGCTGCTTTCGCCCTTTTTGTGTGCCTGAGTTTTCCACCTCGCCCCGCTTAGGGAGTTGCCCGATCCCTGTCCCACGCTGTGCGCCGCATGCCCCCCGCCGTATGGATAGGTCCGTGAGGAAGCAGCGCGGATGCGAGAGCTGAAGGACGAGCACAGCAGGGCCAGGGAGGAGTTCCGGGTGAGGCAGTGGCAGGGCAAGCAAGCGGGGGAGGGGATACTCATAGTTGTGCATGCCGTAGTCGTTAGACGATTGACCTCGCATCCCTACAAAGCCGAGCACGACAGAGTATAGGCACCGACTGATTTATTTCGTTTCCTGGGATCTTCTTGAGAGAGCAGTGTCAGAGAAGATCGATGCTCTGCTATGGTGCCCCATCTTCGTGGAGCAGTCGATGCGGCCTTGTTGTGTCTCCCACCAGTGGGCATCGTGTTTGAACGCGACAAGAGCTGTAGGGGTTAGCCTTCGGTGTACAGCATGGTAAGCTTGTAAATGCCTATTCGGTCATGCCATTAAGCCCGTTCTTCCCGACCGTGTGTTTTGCTGTGATCTACAGTCGCGGTGTTATTTGCGGACCCCCCGCCCCCCCCGGTGTTTGCCATCGGGGTTGGGTTTTCGTCGCTTGGCAACGACGTTGTAAAACAAGCCGCCCCCCCCGGTGTTTGCCATCGGGGTTGGGTTTTCGTCGCTTGGCAACGACGTTGTAAAACAAGCCGCCCCCCCCGGTGTTTGCCATCGGGGTTGGG